TCAGACCGTGTCTTTTACATAATTCTTTTAGAGTATTTTTGTTGCCCATGGGTTTTTTCCTGCAAGTCGAGCATGCTTACTCCTATTTTACAGAGAAAGTATGGAGAGATTGCCAGAACTCAAGAGAAAAGCTCTTGTCTCTGTGTTTCCCCTTCCCTTTGGTTTTGGTTTCCGTTGCTTTTTAGCAAGCCATTTTGAACACAGTTCCATTTTTGGAAGTGCTGTACAAAATGGCCCAGCAGGGAGCTGTAGTTTTATGAACTGCAAGAATATATTGGTTTTGTTATATGAACTGCAAGGATAGTATGGTTTGGCGTTTTTTGGTTGGTTTTCCTTCTCCTTTTCTAAAGTAGGTGTTGGAGCTAGAGAGGCTGCCACAGGTCTGGGTAGCTCAGCCCTACTCTAAAGGCAGCCCCCTCTAAAATTGGTTGCCTTGTGTAACCGAGTTGGTCCATTTCTAACTACTGTATCATAAAGCATGGTGGGTTTTTAAACCTGTTTTGTATATGGGATACATTCTCATTTTCTGAAATCCAGGTACATTATAATCTTTTTTTTTTTTTACGGTGGTATTAATAGTTAAAAGTATTATCACTCTTCACTCTCATGGTGGTGTTTTTGTTTTAATAATAAAAAAAGCCTGAAAAACACTAATTTATGTACATGGGGACATGGTACTTGAGTGAATGCTAAAACACCACTACCACTCACGCTTTTGTTAAATGTTCATGATTTGGATTAGAAATAGATGTGTGTAATGAAGTAATGACTTCAACTGAATTGATTGCCATACACTTCTAAAGTGAGATGCATTGTCAGACTATGCTTGGCATTCTTGAGTCTGTGCGTTCTAGAAATACTAGCTTTGTACTGCTGATAGGTAAACTTAAAAGACTCAGCGGTTAAATAAATTGCAAATAGGGTAGTAGTCCCAAATCTATATGATTTTCCCAAAAGAAATACAATTTTTAAAAGAAAACCAATAATGYATCTTGAAAAGGTGTAGAGATTCTTTTTTGYCCCTCTGTGCAAATGCAGTACTTTAAAAGAGAAAGTACTTTCTTGTAATTACTTTCATTAATKCACCAACTACYTGCATAGTTTTTCTTTACAGCAATYATAGTTGCTTGGAACCATTTTAACATAGCTTGATTGTTTTCTTTTCTTGATGTTCCTTTTAAAATTCAGAATTGTCTCAATTTGCACAGCTACATCTTGTATTTTGATAAAAATTTTGGGAGCAAACAATTTCAGCCAGAATTTGAAATCGAATGGACTGCTGAATTAACTCAATATTGTTTAATATATGCAAATCACTTTAAAATAAACACAAATCACTTTGGTTCTTTAGGCATTGGAAATAAATGGTCATCAAGCTCTTAGAACTGTTTGAAATCTTAAATACTTATCACATCATGACTGCTTAAACAGTTGAATTGGACCTTTAGTTTTAGCTGTAAAATTCAGTAGATTTTTTCAAGTACTGTCTTTGAAGGAATTTTGAGTGAAGCAAAATTTTTCTTTTCTTTATAATCTTGATTTTCAGGTTGAGATCAGTCAACTTTTCAATATTTGTTTAGTAAATAAGAAAATTTTTCATGTAAAGTGAGCAAAATGTGGGGGTTTTGAAGTTGATAAGGATACTCATGCTGAGGGTTTTCCATTTCTAGAAGAAAGGGAGTGCAATATTAGACTTACTGCCTGTAAATGACCGAGTTTAGACACCTTTTTACCCATTTTCTGCAATAGAAAAACGGATACAAACACTACCAGCCCTCCCTTCCCCCTTTCCTGCCTTTCCTGTTCTTTCTGCTGATACAGGCTTCTGCAGTAAAATATCTTCAAATAAACCACAGCTGCTAAAATAATGGACTGATAAACAGTTCTTTACTTCAGAAATATACATAATTGTCTTTCAAGCAGCAATATGAGAAGAATTTGGGAGTTGCTAAAGGTTTAGTTGACTTTCAAGTGAACAATAATTTGATCTGTTTTGTGTTTTGGAGAAGAAAAGTCAAGGAAGGGGGTGTTTCAGACTTCTGTATGCATCGCTTACAGAAGGGCCTTTAATTTTAATTTGCTCTGTGGTGGGTGGTTTTCTCGTTTGTTCTGGTTTTTTGTTTTGGATTTTTTTTTTAGGTCAAGGTACTAATGACATTTAATCGTGGTTGGATTGTTTTTTTAATCACTTATTTTAGACAAACTCAATGAAATGCATTCACGTTCAAAATTGTTTGGATTGGGGAAATAATTTTGTGTGACTATTTTTCTATTTTGAGAGAAATCAACTGAGAGTTTAGGATGTTATSTTTGATTAGTACCTATTCAACTCTTTAGTTAATATTAGTTATTTTGAGCACAGCTGGCCTCATTTGACTACAACATCTGCTTTTCAAGGTCACTTTACATGAGGGAGTAGGAAGATGGGCGCATGATAGAAGGAAGAGTTCTGTTAACTGGCTTTGAGAAGGCAAAGTCACAACAGCTTTTAGGTGTTTCCACTGACGCGGGAAAAACGTGGGAAAGGCAGGCAAACAATTTGGTTTTTCCTGTAGTGATGGTCACTGGAGAATTATAATGGAGGACACTACGGTGTACTCAGGTTAGAGTCTCCTGTTAAAAACAAYCCCAAAACAAACCACACCCACCCTTCCTCTACTCCTTCCCCCTCCATGAAAAAATAACAACCAAAAAAACGGAACTGTAAACAGGAAAAACTACCCAAATCCCCTGCTTTGGAAGCTGCTGAAAGATCCCTGTACTTTAGTTAGGGGTGGTTGTCAGCCCTGTGCATGGCACACACAGGCTGCTACTGGTCTGGGTTGCTCAGCCCTACTCAAGACAGCCCCCTCTGATACTGATTGCCTTGTGTAATGGAGTTGGTGCATTTCTAACTCCTAAATCAATTGCTCCTCCTCTCTGTGAAAACGTTTTGTGCTTGATAATGAGCTTTGTCATAGCCGGTGGTGTGAGAGGGAGGAAGGCACTGGGAGGAAAACACAGCGAAGGGGGGCGGGTTACTCTGCCAGAACGTTCTGGAAGCCGGGTGGTGCTTCCCGCAGACTGCAGATGCAGAGCTCGCCCGCCGGGCTGCCGGCAAGTTCTGGCATGGACTTTCTATACCAGACTAGAGCCTTGAATAGAAAATGCTCCAAGGTTCTTATTTTGCAGTATGTGTTTTACTGTGTTTAGAATCACACTGTTGTTCAGGTATTGTTGCATAAGGCGATTGAGCTGTGGGGAGGGAGGTTAGGGACACATCTGTATTTGGGAAAGCCAAGGGGGTTTTTAATTTTTTTTTTTTTTAAGCAGCATTGGTGCCCTTTCTTTTTAAGATTAGAAGCTGTTAATCCGATGAATCATTTTGCAAATGACAACAGCGTCACTGAATAATGTATTCTGCATGCACTTAGATGTGCTAGCATATGTAAATCAGTCTGAAAATAAGGCAAGTCAAAAGATATGGGCAAAATAAAGAGGATGTTAATGATTATCATTTTAATGTGATAGTCATTCTGGAAAAATAATTATCTTTCCCTTACAAATCGCTCTAGGATTTTGGATGCAAAAGGCGAGGGTAAATTATAACAAATAATGGGTAGTAATTTACATCGCTAAATATTTTCAGACACAAAAACAGTATCGATGTTAGAGATGAGCACGTTGTGTTGTGCTTAAATAATCTAGAACCAGCCATATATAAGCAAATTTGCTTGCAGCAGAAAATGGGACTATATTTCAACTATATGTAATCTTGASCCTGTTGGAATTCTAAATAGGAACAATGCAGGGAACTAGAAAATGCCAGGGGTGTAAAAGGCTCTTCTGGTCCTGAGATGCTCTGCCTTTGCCATGTTCAAATCAACAAGCATCACCGTCTCCATCGTTTATATGGCAGCACATGAGAAGATATTGGTGAAGGATTAATTGTTTATATGCACACGCACACTTAAAGCCTAGCTTCTTTTTTCTTTCCCCTTTAAAATAAGCATTTGTAAAATGTAATTTATTCATTTATTTGATTTGATTTTGACTGGAAGGAGAAAGTTAAGAACTTTAAAATTASCTCTTAGAAGTCACTGAGGCTGAAATCCAAGCTTTTGCCACTGCCTGTCACTGTRCCTTAGAGATACTTGAAAAGGTGATTCTGGAGRAGTGGTGTTTTTTTWATTTTTTTTCCCTATGCCCAACTGATTAAGAAAAGTTRAATGTGAAATAGAAACAACAGATTAAATGGCCAGGTATGTTACTTGCCAGCATTAGGTTAAAAATAAATTTTTCTTACTTGGAATTAATATTTACTTGTTGGAAATCTGCAAAGTACTCAAAATACTGGGTTAAACAAACCTGGTTGCTGAGCATTGTGCATACCTGTTTTTCTGGTGTTGTTTCTATCTTTATCTAGGAAATGACCATGACCAGTGGTGTGGGGAGCATCCTACTTGAAACAAGCTGCAATGTGAAATTTACTTCTAGACACTGTTGTCGGTTTTCACTTACATGAGAAATAAGCGTAGCGTTTGACTTTAGACATGGATCTGGATTATTAGTAAGCAAAATATCTAGAAGGTATATTCTAGAACCCGTGGGGAGGGGKAAGGTTTTGCTTAGCAACATCCTGCTGCAACTTAGTATTGAAATGAGGCCCCTTTATGTAAATTTTTACTGGCGCCAGCTAGCTGTAGCTGCAGTCTGGATTCGTGTCGGCAGCAGCTAACATGTGTCATGGACTTCTCTTTCACACGGGTTGCAGGAGCACTCTGGTTTCTGGAGAGAAAAAGCAGCACTGATGAATGTGAAAAGCTGTACAAAGGAATCTAGGTGTAATTAGATTGTTAGTAAGTGAAAATACTGAGGAGATTTCAGCTTTTTGGGGTTTTTTTTCAGTGTGCTGTTTTGCACTGTGCTGTAATAAATCTATGCTTGTTGGTACTACTGTGTGGTATGTGGGAGGTACTTCACTGCACATACTTGCTGCAGCACTAGTAGTTGGCAGCGCAGAAGGCAGTACAGAGTACAACTGAAAGCAGTTGCAGTTGCAATAGTTTCCTCAGAGGCTGTGGCATGCTCAGTGAGCTGCAGGGGTGCTCTGACACATTCAGCCACTTAGGAGGAGAAGTAGGAATTTTAGTAGGTTTTAACAAACAGATGTAGACTACTGGCTGAGAGGTACAACAGCATAGCTCAGGCTGGCTAAAAACCACTACTCATGCTGCAATGTAAACAAAGCAAGATCTTAATATCAAGATGGCCGWCTTGGAAGTCTACTTGTAGCTCATAATACTTATGCAAATGAGCTGCATGGCAGTGGCTTACCCAGAGGAGGGAGCCCATTTTGCACGTGCCATCTTCTTGTCAGGTAAGAGACACAACTCACTTTCTGCATTCATGTTTTAGAGGACTTTGAAGTTAATTTTCTACCTGGGTGCCCACCCTCCCACWTTGGCACAATGCCAGGAATGAAGTTTGAATGTAAGTGGCATTTTCTGGGAAGCCCAGAAGTCATTTGTTCTGACTGYGATTATTTTTGGGTTGCTGTTTTTAGGGGCAATGTTACCTAGAAATTATTGTAATATGTTTACCTTAGTAAAACCAAGTGCTTAAAAATATATTAGAAATTTGAATATGTAGTTTTTGTTGGTAATGTTACTACTTTTGTTTGATTCAAGCCTCTACTGYTTAGCTGCTACGTTTTTTTTGTTTSTATAGTGACACCAGTTGATGCATATGGAGGCTTAGCAATAGTGAGAGCTTACCCCAGAAAGGGTGCAGAATTGACTAAATTGAAACCACCAATTGTGTTTCAGCATCATGGTCTTATGAAGGGTCTTCATTATTCTAGCTGTAGTTTGAATTCTCTATTTGTTGAGTTTACAAAACTGTTWAAAAAATCAGATACCGAACTGTCATCCATAATTTTTTTAGTATAAATACCTTCATAAATACCTGTTTAGGTGTTAAAAAATTGGTTTTGTAAATAGGGAAATAGATCAGAATATGGTATTTTTATGATTTCCCCCTCTCAGAAGACAATAACCTTGCCTTGGAGCAGCAAATTTTAACAGAATTTTAAGTATTGGCTAATTACGTAATATGCCCTATTGTGGCTATGCATGTAGTGCATTAAATGGTTGCATGGGGCAGATGTGCTAGTTCTGCACAAATATATTTCTGTTATTTCTATTTTACAAGTCAGAGTAGTGGTAGGGTCCGAGACTAGAAAGGAGAGATGGATAAAGAAGATCACTGACCTAGAGAAAAGAGGTAATTGGAGATGCATGAACAAGCCAACAAAACATGGCCACTTAAAGGCACACATCAGTTCAAGATAGGGATGTGGAATTGGAATTAGACAGGCCTGTTTTTGTTGAAGGAAAAATAACATTAATTGAAGAGAATGAAACTAATAAGACAGAAGGATAAAGTAGGCAGAGAACTTATGAGAGCTTAAAATGGCAGTAACAGATATTGAAAATATTGGAGGTATTCTGAGATGGCCTTAGAATTAGGGCCTATAGAGTAAATATGCTGGGAAAGAGAACTGTAATTGGTTGATATTGCAGAAGAGGACATTTAATGGTTATGGAGAAGGGTGAACTTCTGCATTGATATGGCAGAGTAAGATGCTGCGTGCCTACAATACGCACCAAATGAGTTGCAGTTTGTAGTTAGTTCATACACTWTGAAGCCTTCTGTAACTTTAGTGCTAACTTAAGATGTAATATGGACTATTTTGCTTGTCGTTTATAAATCTGGTTATATGCATGTCCGGACAACAGAAAGTACAAAAATGRGCACATGTGAGAGAGAGTACAAACACAGGTGTATGGTAGGTTTCAAATAAATGACGCTAGAGATCACCGTTAACAACTGTAACGGTTTTCTGTAAATGTCAAATTTTGTTGGAATCAATCTTGCTTTCATGGCTATATGAAGGAAGCAGTTCAGGGCCCTTCCCTCCTTTTTGTGAAGTGTGAGCATGAGAATGGTAGAAGAGAAATGGCATTGAGTGAGGCATGAAAAATACAGGAAACTATTAAAAAAAAATGATCCTGAGAGTAGAGAGATCATCAAGGCCAGCTCCTCACCCAGCGCAGGACAACCCCAAGAATCACACCACATGCCTCAGTGAGTTACCCAAATGCGTTTTCATATCTTGATACTGTGACTGCTTCCCTGAGGAGCCTTTCACAACCACTGTGGACAAGCTGTTTCMGTGTTCACCCACTCTTGTGGTGAAGAACTGTTCTCTGTATCTATGTGGAGTTTCTCTTGCTACAACCCGTGTCTGTTTTCTCTTGTCAGTGTGCTGTGCATCTCTGAAAACAGTCTGTCTTTGTGTACTCTGTGAGTGTTAGGTTATGGGGGTTTGGGGTTTTTTTTTAAATAATTTTGCTGTGAGTGAGTAAAGGAAGAGGAAAACTTTTTTTTTTTGTCTCTTTCCAGAAAGACATCTCACTTTGATCTGAAAACAGCATTAAAAGAATGGCCAACCTGTGAAATTTAAATGACSCATGGGTTTGGAACAACTGATGGGCTTGCCCACTATGGCGACTCTTCAGATGGGTTATATGGGATAATACTTTCATTAACTATTCCATGTAATATAATTTCTGATACTGTATGCAGCTACCTAGTGAGGTCTGGTACCAGCTTGATTTCTAGTTTGACTTSGTGGTGAGACCCACAAAAGTTGTCTAGTTTTCCTCCCCAAGAATGTCTTGGCTGTCTCATCTTGTGGCTCTTAGCCTGATGAATCTAAGCTAGACAACAAACCAAGTTAATTTTGGTTTCAGCAAATGGATGGCTAAGGACATTCATTGGTCTGATGGGGCTAGAAGTTATTCCTTTTGTTTTCATGTTTTACAGTGTCTTCCTTAATTCTAGCAGCTAGTTTGTTATTTTTAACCAGACATGCTGCAATGATTTTGGATACTTTTGCTGTTTCCTCCATCTTCTAAAGACAGTGGGGAAGGCATAATCTCCATTCAGCAGAACTTGTAACTGTTGAATGAAAACYTTCATGGCTGAGAAAAATAAAATAGATAGTAATATTTCAGTCATCCTAATGGTGTGCAGTCAGGGACCATATCTTGTTCTTATTTACAGTTGTATCTCCTTTGTTGTGGGTCTTTTTTCTTAATTAGTGGTCAGATCTGTCCTAAAATTGCACCTTATCTGATGAGTTCCTTTTGTATTTAAATCTGCTCTGTTGGTTTGCTGTGGTGTTATTTTTTGGTTGGTTGGTTTTTGTTGTGGTTTTTTTTTTTGGGGGGGGGATAATCAAAGAGCAACATTTAAAACTGAGAAGTGCGACTTTTATCCTGCATTGTTTTAGAACTTCAATGACTTTAAGATAATTCATAAACATAGCTATAAGCTGTAGTATAGACCTGCACACCCATAAGTTCTTGGATGGGAGAGGAAGAGGTCCCTTGTGTTTTCCATCAGCAACCCCACAGAGGGAAGGGTGAGGCCTACTTTATCTGTTCTGAGTAGATCTGAACAAGTTTTTCTTTGGAAAGATCAGCTGATCTGTGATGCAGGATTTTGCACTGACTGTCCTAATGGCAGCTTATTACACATTTGACAGCAGTGGGGAGTATGAAACTAAYGTCTCATGAGCGCATTCACAACATGAGAAAGGTGTAGAAATGCTTCTGTTTGCTTTTGTTAGGAATAATAGCGTATTTTTTTACAGTATAAGAGCTGCACGTGTGTTCCAGGAAGTGCTGCTGACAGTTTAAGATTAATTTTGTAAATAATTTGCATTTTTCCAGGCTAAGAAAGTATTGRTCAACTCAGCAATGGAGGAGAGGTTTTGCAAAACTAAATCCAAGACTGTCCATTAGGCACAGAAAATCCAGCTATCATAGGAACTATCAAAATTAAAATGTCTTACAGTTCAACTTCAGTGCCATCTGAAGTAGACAAACCAGGCTGTCAGCTGGTTTGGACATGCTGTGGTTCTTCTAACTTAGTTTGGGAAGTAAGGAGAGCTACCTCTAGGAGGAAGGCCTTGTGTCAGTCTTTGGAAAAGAAGTTGCTGTTCCTAGCAAAAAACTTTTAACCAGTTTTTAATGTCAAAGCACAGTTGCTACTTTTTTGAGTGTTATGTGTGTTAAATGATTAGGTACCTGTTTGCTGCTGAGTTTCCCTTGAGGAAGCTGAAAGCATTTTGGTGATCAGTAAAGTAGTTAACATAAAATGAAGAAGAAATTTTTYTTCCCAAACAGCAGTACTAATTGACTATGCAGTTCAGTTGCAACCATATGTAGTAGCCCTAACACCGTTGATAGGATGTTTTATTCCACACATTGAAGAATTGCTGTGATACTACTGGAGCTTGTGCATAATTTGGAAAGGACATCACACTAAGCGGCAGCCTTCTCTGACAATCATGCCCTTTGACTAAAAGACCTAAATTCTCAGGACGTGTTGATTGTTAAAAAAAACATGCATTCTCACAAAAGAAATAGTTCTTTCTAATGTCCCTTCAAGGATCAGTAGATTCTTGTGCAGACAGTTTTCACTGGAACTGTACAGGATTTTAAAGAAGCTGGTACCAGCTTCCAGAGAAAATTAGAAAGATTCTCAGAAGGTTATCCAGTTCTGTAGCTTCTGTTGTCCTTTCCTCTTTGTTCTATTATTTAGAGAAATTGTTCCCCAAGAAGGCCCCATGGTGACAAATGATTATGACCTGGTAATTTTCACCTTGGGGTATGAAAATAAAATAGTTTTATGATTACAAAGGCAAACCTGGGAGATGTGATCACACATACAAATTCATCAAGAGAGTCCACAGTTAGTCTGAAAAATTGTCAGGAAACAGTTCAACTATATTAATGTGCCAGCATATGAAGGAAGGATGTATATTGGTGTCCTCACTCATTCAAAGAGAAATTAAGCCTTTGATTTTTGGGATGAGGTGAAACTGCAGCCTGTTCTTTCCAGGAAGCAAGCAAGCATTGGCTTGCTGGCTCACCAGGCAACACACAGCCCGTGGAAGAGTGTTCCTTTTGATGTTAAAGGTTTCTGGGTAGAACCTTTCTGGAAGTTGACTTACTACAGCAAGCCTTAAATGGTCAAAATTTAAGATGCTTTCCTTTGAGGCTTTTATACATTTTATCAGTGGAGGCATTTTTTAAGTATAATTCTTACCGTCTACTTCTTGGCATCTAACTCTGCGTCACACTTGGGAAACTTCCTAGACAAAAAAATTTATTTTTTTTTAAAATAGTCACGCTGAGTGACCATAGCAGATGCATTTTTCTCCATATGATTTTTTATGAAATTTGGGGAGGCAAGCAGTCTAAAATAGCTGTATAAATTCTTAATGTAYTTCTGTGTTTGTGAGAG